TGTGGCAGAGTGGTTAGAGGAGTTGTCCTGGAGCCTGGTGGTCACTGGTTCAATCCCCCGTCCAGCTGTCTCAGTTGTTGTGTCCTTGGGCAAGGCACTTCAGCCCTAATGCCTCTGATGTCCCATCAGTGTCTGAATGTGATTGGACTGATTAGTCTCATAGATGATTGTACCTGTTATCTCTGTAGAGAGCTAACAGAGTGCTGTGTGAATGGATGAATGAGGACACAGSTTGTAGAGTGAAGACCTCTGAGTGTCCTGGATGGATACCAGAACCCTAACCAAGGCTTTGGTTCCCATAAAGAGCATTTGGTCCCCACAAGGCTGTTTGTCTGGAAAATGGTCCAATTGAAGTAGCAGGTATGCGTCCACACCAGGGGCAGACAGAGCCTTGCCCCCCTACTTTTATGTTTCTAAAATATTTGTAATTACTGTTTATTAGTCCAAAAGCCTATTACAGCCTTAAAAAATAAATATTTATTTACCAAAAATATATCATGGTAAATATAATCTGAGGCCCCTGAAAAGCTTTGTTACGGCCCTGCTCCAAGCTGGACCATGTGTCACAGTGATGAGGCAGTCTGCCTGCTGCAGGGTGGACTCACTGAGCTTCAACTGTCTGCACTTMAACYAAGTTTCTCCAGCTGATGTTCTAACACACAACAGTAAAGTTAAGTTTGCAATGAATGAAAWATCWGCTAAAGTGTCTGATATAGGCTTTGTATGGTAACAAACGGACTAATTTTTCTAAAYCTTGATGCTTGCACATTGCAGAGCAAAATGAAAAAGAAATGTAAAAGTGGAAATATTGCCAGTTTTTTTGGCAATAAAATGAAGGATGAGAAGGAAGAAGAGACTGAGAGTTAAGAAAGATAGAATGATAGAGAGACCAGGAGGGTCACAGGTGAAGAAAGTCTCTGAAAGTGCAGAAGGTGAAGAAGATGAGGAAAGTGATGTCAGCATAAGTGATGAAGGAGAGAAGATTTCAGAGCCAGAGAGAGAGAGAAGACAGCAGAGGAAAGTGAAGGAGAGAAGGAAGCACAGAGAATCCAGCCTTTATTCCAGCTGGACCACCTGGTATAAACAGTACTACAAATATATTACATGTTTCAATGAAATAACACATTGTCTGTACAAGTCTAGAGGTGTGTTATGAAGTTAGATATTCCAGACTTACCTTAATAAATATAGTTAATTCATGTTCTATATAACTAAAAATAGTCTTTGACAATAACTAGTTTTAAAGTGTTGTTAGGGATGTTTTGTTGTCTCCGTTTAGCTATAGGAAATTTCTCAGGTCCAGTACTTCAGTGAAGTGATCCAGCAGTGCCACCCTGCCCAGAGCTTCCCCACCATGGAACATTTTCTAGATCCTCCTGTAGGGGTCTGTTGGGAAGCGAAAAGATTTTTTCACTAGTTGTAGGCCTAAGTATTTTTCAGCTAAGTTTTCATAGAAGACCTGGCTGATTGCAGATTT